GGCGTGGCATGCTGGGTGTAATATGTGCACAAATTGAAAATAAAGTTTTGTAACAAAATGTCGCACCGGAAATGAAACTCGCAGCATGAGACTTGGCTTGCCACATCGCCCCGTCCCTATGCCTGTCCCTTTCTACCTCTAGCTGTCTCTGTCTCTGTCTCTGCCTCTGTCTGCGGGAAAATGTGTAGCGAAGCGTGTAAACTGGATATAAAGCCAGAGACATTTGGAGGCGTGGTCGAAGGATTGGAGGTCTGGAGGACTGGAGGACGCAGAAGGAGGCAGCATTGTTTGCCACTATTCCGGGGCCCGAAGGAGCGGGACGAACATCTCTGATTCCGCCTTGGTCTAGGCGCAGTCTGCGCCAGTTGAGCCTTTGCCATAATAAAAGATGACATTTTATAGCAGTCATAGCCATGCTAGCTGAGCGGGTAGCACGGATGCTCTCGGATTCTTGGTGGTTTTGGGCCTTTGGCCTAGTCGCCAGATGCCGGAGAAACCAGCAGCAGCAGCAGCAGGAGGAGCAGGAGCAGGAGCAGGAACCTACCGCCGTAGGCAAGTCGAAGACACAGCTGCAAAAGTACATAAACCCAGAAATGTCATGTTTATTTTCATTTCATAAGGAAATTGTCTGTCTATATAGTTGGGGCCGGAGCAGCACCTGGAAAAACTTTACCAATAAGGAGGCAAGAGGCGTTCTATGGTCTAGTGTTTTTTATGAGCACATAAAGTAGCGGCAAGCTGAACGATTTACGGCCAGGAAACAAATTTATAGCCCATAATTAGCATATGAATTGGCTAAGTGCACCACAAATTGCACTTCAGTGTAGTGCACATGAGGCTGAAGCGGAAATAAAGCAGGCTCATGCTTATATTAAATTTAATTCGAGCCTGTTTTGTGGTCCATTTAATGACACTTGATGTGGGTTAATCTTCGATAGAAACTTTCTAAAGTGCACACACAACTCGCTAATGGCTTAAAAATCGCCCACAAATTATACCCATTAAATATTCAAATTTCGTTAAACTTTGGCAAAGCACTTTGCCAGTTTTGAGGGACTGCCACAGGTTGAGTCTTGGGCACACACGCGTTTCGGGAAAATACCCACTCATCTAATCGCATCGTTAACATCATCAGCAATTTCGCCATGTCACGGCCGCAACAATGGCCCAAAGCTCAGGGCTGGAAGCCCCTTATTCCGGCTAACCATTTAATCATTTTGTCACACGTTGGCCAAACAAAACGGATGGGCTTTTCTGGTGGGGAATTAAATTTTAGCATATGTCATAAGGGCTTAGCCATGATTTATACAGCGCAAGGCAGCCATCAAATGTCGTGATATTAGGCAATGCCCCAGGGAACGAGGATCCCAAATACCAGCTACCAGATACCAGCTACCAGCTACCAGATACCACGGCCAATGTGAAACTAAACGATTCCGGGAAGCTCGAACAGCAGATGCAGCTACATCGACGGGACAATATGACCATTTCTCTTCCGGGGTTCGTGAAAGGAGAATAGAAACTGCTTCATATATCTTCATTATAGCAGCACTTGCACTGTGAAAAATCGACCACCAATGCCCGGGGAATTGGGCCCTTTATCGCGACCAAATCTCGCAGTGCATTGGGATGGCAGCTCAGCTGTGCACAAATTCGCCTGTGTATAAATATTTATATATTGAAATGCAATGCGAATCGATGGGACTGGAGTTGAAAGCAGTGGTGTTTCGAGCCAGAGCGCTGGAGTTTGAGTTCCAGTTCCAGTTGAATTTCGAGCAATGCGCCGCAATGCAATCGAGCTAGACGAAATTGAATTTGCAGCAAGTTGCTCAGGATTCGGCATCCGCATTCGCATCCGGGTCCTCAGCACAGTTTGTCCTATTTGAGCATGCGAAAATGCGATTTGAGTCGTGGCGCCCAAGCCACCCGTTCGCCTTTCACTTCCTGGGCTGAAAAAGTTTTCCATCGGTTGTTGTGCTGCCAGCAGCCTGCCTGCCTGCCATTTTTCCCGGGTGGAAAACTGTGAGCCTGAGCTGTGACAAATCTTTATGCAATGTTGCATGTCCTCTGATTTGCCATGATGACATGCTGATGGAATAAGTAGAGGGACGGCAAACGGAACTAAAACTATGAGTCTGCCCTGCGACTGCCACTGCCTCCGAATATCCGAATCTGTAAATGTATCTGTATCTGCATCTGCATCCTTTAACCGAAGCCGTATCTCTATGCCATGTCTATCTGTCTGTGCCAGTGATTTGCTCGCTGAAGCGTTAAGCACAAAAATTGGTAATGGCTGTGGCTGTGGCTGTCCCGTTTTTGGCAATCATTGCGCAGGTTTTATATCTTTATGATGGTTTCTATCCCCGATACGTTTTCGGTTTGGCCAAAACCGCAAAATGTCATCGATTTGCTGTATGGAGCCCATGTATGAAACTGAGCGTTTCAAGTTCGTTTCGTAGTGTAAGAATTTAAGCACAGCTTCCTTCCAACTCTGTTTGATTAAGAGTTGTTGAAACTTAATTAATTTATTTACTCTTGCCATTCGGCCACCGATTTTCAACAAGGGCCTCGGGCAAAAGCGGCTTAAACACATCAAAAGACACTGAAAATTAATCAGGGAGACAGGCCCATTCTTAATTCCTTGACCTGCATGCGAATGTAGCGCCCACAAGTATAATTGCATCAATTTGTTTAAAAATGTGATTTTCTAAATACAAAATGAACACGAATCGGGGAAATATCGGACTTGGAATAGGTGAGCTCCGCAATCCAAAATGTGCGAGTGGAAACTTTTCATTATAAATTGCGTGCCAGCTGTCAACATGGCGGTGTTGCCCCAGGGCCAATTGAAATGGATTTGAGCAAGGGCGGGTGGGGAGTTGTGGGCGGAAAAGCGAGTTTGAAGGCGTCCTGATGGAAGGACTATGATAAGGGGGCGTGGCACTGGCAGTTGAAAGGCTAATTTTGCACATTTGAACTGACATCCACGAGGAGCAAATGCGTTGTGGGTTATCATTTGGTTAGTCCTTTCCAGGAATGGGCTGGCCGGCGGTGGGCGTGGCAGGGCAGGCAATTTCATGGTTAAATGATTCAGAAAGAGAATTACAAAATTAGGCCCTGGCCCAGCCCAGCACGGCGCAAAAACCCAACCCAGGCCCACCCGGTTAACACAATGTAATTAACTTTTGCGCGACTGCCTCGCCCTCTCAATATATTTGATATTTATTTTGGCCCTCTGGGTGCACTTTGGTCATTCGCCCGCTGACAACTTTGGTGCTCTATGGAGAGAGAATACGCCGGATGTGCTGGCCATCTTCCTCGTGCTCGTTCCCCTCGATGTCCCCATTCGAAAGCAATTTGAAACAAATTTTATTGCCAAAGTTTTTGGAGCACATGGAAAATTGTTCAAGTGCCACCGCAAACAGAAAAAGCAAAAACCGAAAAAAGTTACCAACCAAGATGCCATTTCTAATCCACAATTAGTCCTACACAAAAGTGTGTTAACTGCTCTTGGATTACAAGTGAAATGAGACGAATTTGCGTGGGAATTTATGGTTTGACTGTGCAGTGTGGAGCGTAAATTGAACGGTTCGATTTCCTTGTGGTGCTGGCTCTTAAAGTGCGGCCTTAAAATCTCTTACAGCTGATCCCAAAATCGGGGTAATCGGGGACCCAGAAAGTCCGCAAGCCTCGCTGCGCTTCATGACCAACTTCAATGGTCGGCGCACAGTGCGTATGCGTAATAAACAAAACAACTGCAGTAACAATCGTCCTTGTGTGCGTGTGCGTGTATGTGTGTGTGTAAGTGGGCTTTATTTAAATTTACAGCCAAGCAGTCGGCACTGTTGAGCTTTCCTACGCACACTGGCCATGCCCCGCCCCCTGACCGCCCTGACCCCCTGCCACACTTCCCCGCCACACACAACAATCCCTGAAAAGGGGCGCCTGTGCACGCCCACTCCCTGGGCGCACATTGTGCTCAGTGTTTGGCGTTTGCCCCTGTTGAATAATAAATTGTATTTTGCGGCATTTAAAAGCAATTTTTAACATTTTTCAATCTCAATGGCAATGCCTGAACCGGCAAGCACGCACACCATCATAAATACCCACAAACACAGGCGCACAGGCGATGGCGCTGCCACATTCATATCCGTATGCTTACACAGGGCGAGGTAATGGGTGCCTAAATCGAAGAAGATATTTATTTGAACTGATTATTTAATAATTGTATATTACCACACATATTTGCTCTCAGTGCTGACTGTGTTTTCCTGCTCGAGAGGCAATCAGCACACAATTTCAATAACTTTGTTGTGTTATTCATTATACAGACAGTTTGGAGTACAGTTCATCAATTTATTGATATTTTTGGCAGTGTAATTGTATACATACTTGGTGGAGCCGAAGGGGAGTCCGACCGGAGCCCGTTGTGGCACAGTTTTGTCTACCAATTTTGCAGTGAATTGTCCTGGGGATCTCTGAAGCCAAGGCTGTCAAACCGTAGCAACACACCAGCTCTCCACGCACCGAGATGGATAGAGACAGATGCAGGAGGAAGTGGGACGGCAGACCAGAAGGGGGGGCAATTTTTGGCTTAGAGCTGGAGCTGGAGCTGGAGCTGGAGCATTTTCCGACTGGCTCCCTTTGCATTTAGTTAAGCTTGAAGTGAAGACAGCAACGATTCGGCAGTGAAACAAATTGCAGCATTTAAGTTGCCATCCAGCACCGCCACCCGGCCACCCGGCCACCTCCCAACCACCTAGCTGCTCCACAATCTCTGTTCAGCCGGAGTAGGAAAACTAGTCGAAAATGTTCGTACTTGTGTGTCCAGAGCTGGCAAACAATTTGCGTAAAGTTTGATTATGTGTGTAAACCGGCCAGTATTTTCCATTTCAAGTTGCTACACTTTGCATGTGCTAACAATGCTGGCGGCTATGTTCGGCACAACAGCTGCCAATTATTAGGACCGAATTTCAAGTCGATCTCAACAGGCTTTCAGATTTAGTTCGAACGCTCGCACGAAAAAATGTCAGGCGCAAAACAAGGAAATCTAAAAATGGAGCAACTGTATGCTCGTCGCCGCAGATACAAGATCAAAAGTGCCAAGAGGTAGCTATGTTATAAGATACTAACTCAGCTTCGAGCTCAACTATTAAATCCCCAGGGGTGTCTGCAAATTCCTACCTGATTTGAAGTGCAAATCTCTGGGAGGCATTGGACACAAGATAAAGGATCTGCTGACCTCGTTGCTTCCGTCCTCGGATTTCTATAAGAACTCGCTGCGATTCTACAAGCGCTGCACAAAACCAGATCGTCACGAGTTCCAGCGCATTAGCATTGCCATTGGCGTGGGATTCCTCATCATGGGCTTGATTGGATTCGCCGTTAAGCTGATGCACATACCCATAGTCAACATCATCATGGACTGAGGGATAGAGCTCTAGTGGAAATAAAGATTCAATTCCGCTGCTCAAAGTCGAGAAAGTTTTCTGGGCGGAGGCCAATGTCTCTGGAACCGAGACAAGATGCTTGGTTTGACCTAAGGGTGTGAAGGAGATCATCCTTTTGCTTGCCAGGCCTTTCTTTAAATACCCACCATTCGTGGTGCCAAGCCGAATGTTATATTGTTTTCCATTTATAGACTTTGTAATTTAAATTGCTTCCCGGGAAATAGTATTTCTGGAGTTTAGAAGCACACATTTTTTGCAGCATTTAACTTACTTGAATGTAGGCAATAAAGATACTTCAGCAAACTGTAAGGGGTCAGATGCGAAGTCAGATCCGTGAGGTAGTGAAATGCTTCCTAGGCAGTCAGGGCCAGGAAAAAGGGTTTCTTAAAGAAATGCTCACCTGTTCAGCAACCTCCTCTTCAAAATATATTCGGCGAAAGTAAAAATTTCAACTGAACTTTTTTTCTTAGCAGGAAAGCAAAACTTGTTGACCAAATCAATGGGCGAAGCTTTTATCTGAGCACTTGCAGCAGCTGCAGAGGGAATCAAGAGCCGGTCCTTGACGCATCGGTATCCATATCCCTTGGACTCTAGGATGTGCATTGTCGCATGTGTCTCCATTTGCTGCTGTTATGTTTTATTGATGAGTCTCGAAAACCAAAATTGATGATGCCTCGCTGTCCCCGTCTGCATTCGCGTCCGCATCCGCATACGCATCCGCATCCGTGTCCTTGCGGCGTTGCAAAGAGCGCAGTCGAGCTGCCTTGTTGTTCCCGCTGTTGCCGGCGGCAAATGGCGAAAATTTATTCAAAACTTCGACGCAGTTGCATCCTTTAACGGCCCGTTCGTGCAACAGGCGTCAAAGGAGTTGATGAAGGGAAATTGACGTGGTCGGAATTAAGTGCAGGCGTTCTCGTGGGAATCTTGGAAAAGTTGAAACGATTCAGATATTGAACGGAGTCCTTTAACTGGAATGAAAAAGGGTTTTCTACTCATTTCTGAGGCTCACGACAGCGCTGTGTGTCGCATTAAGCTGAAATCATTTTGTAAGTGCATTCATATAAACTTCTTATGTACACTTCCTACACTTAATTGTAAGGAATTAAAATTGTAGGATATCATGCAACGAAGTCCATTAGGAGAGCAAATTCTCCGAAAATACCTTGTTTATTCTTCGTGAGCTTATAAGAAAATAAACCGAACCTTTTCTTTCATATGTAGCCAAGGAATTTTATTAAAAGCTAATTTTGTTCTGGGGGCATACAATCGCACACTTTTTCATGCTGTCCCGTGGCTGCCTTGTTCTAGTTCTCTTCTTGATGCATTTTAATTAAAAGTGAAGTGCGGCCATTAATTTGCAACTACAAATTACACTCAATAAAACATGTCTGCCACACTGATTTTTCGGCACGAATCGGGCGCACAAGAGCGGGAGGGCACGAGGGTGTGTCGAAGGGATAGAAAGAGAAAGAGAGTGAGAGAGAAAGAGAGAGAGAGTGGGATAGAGGGAGAGAGGCGGGCAATCAATTTGCACTTTGACTACAATTACTGATTTTCGACACTTCAAAGGATTTTATAAATTGCCATTTGCTCTCAGCCCTCAAAAAAAGTTCTACGTTGCTTCTCTGACTTTGGCAATTTGTATTGGCCTTTTTCCTTGCCCACACACACACACACACACACACTCACACACACACACACACATGCACATTCACATTCACACCCACACACTGAGACGGCCACATGTGTTTTTTGTTCTCATCTTGATTGCGCCTACCATGTACAACTTTAATTAACTCAATGTGCGACTCCTGCGGCCAAATGGCAGGCAGTCCAAAAACCCAGGACTTGAAAATAGTTTCTGCGTGGCAAGAGCTGGCGCAAATGGAGCCAAAGAGTAAATGGATTTTTTGTTAGTTTGGCGTGCTGCAAATTAGGTTTCGGATGAATGGCAAACCTAATGAGGGGCACCGAAACGGGCTAGACAAGGTGGGTAACAGTTAAAGGCCCTCTTGGTCACCAAAGTTGAAGCTATATCCCTTGGCAGACAACTTCGTACTTTAGGCCATATTTCGGTTCGGCAATTTCCATGCAAAGCGCAGATACACGCGTAAAGCGGAAAACATTTTTACACATATGACTGACGCTGATTGCGTTTGTCACGTCGCCGAAATAAAATTGCTGTGCGACCCCAAAAGCTGACGGCTACGCAAAACGGAGAGGTGGCGAAAAAATCGCAAAAAACTTCTGTTAGTCAACAGCTTTCAACTAACCAATACCCATTACTCAGCGCTGAGTTAAAGTTACCCATAAGGCAAAGCATTTTGTAAAACCTAATTTAAATTTGCTGCAGCCCTACTAGCGAAGAGGCTAAATACTATATTCTGCACTGGAATATACAATTTCACTTTTGCAGTAATGGGTATAGGGTTCCTAAGAAAAAGACAGCCTTTTTTATTTTCGTTCTTGTTGTTGAGTTGAACTCCTCTGGCATTGTACGTCTATATGTATGCACACCTCATCCCGTTGGTTTTTTGGGGCCTTCTTGCATCTGCGCCAAAAATCGGCTAGCGGAAACGGAATTGCAGTAAAATCGGCATCGATGAACTCGGCGACCTCTTTACGCATGCAAACAACCACACTCAACCGTCCGGCATTGCGTATACGTAACGTGCGCCAGCCGATTGTCGCAGTTGCGGAATATTTGCATAATTTAGCGATTGAATTTTATGCTCAAAAGCAAAGCGCGCAGCATCTGCTTTCCGCTTGCTACATAAACGTACATCAGGCAGCAGGCGAAAACGATGCTGGTGTTGTGGCATTGAGAAGCTTCATCCATTTCGCTTTTCATATATTAATTATATAATTTTTGCTGCATTTGGTCGTGGCCAGGAGCTTCCGAACAGCAGCATCGGCATCATTATTAAGCCGATGATGAAGATCATTCTTGCCGGGACATGGACAATAATTGCATGCAACATAATTAAAGCCATTAAAGCACTTAAGCTGCCGGAAAACCCAGGACATATGCCAATGGCCGTCGCTATAGGCAGTCGAATGAGCAGGGGGTATACGGGTATATTCAGCGATAGAGTGGCCACTGGTCGAGTCATGTTTGCATATGCATAATTATGATGAAAACACATTTAAATGCATTTAATCGGGCGCATGGCCAGCCTCGAAGGGGAATCGGTCCTCAGGAATCGAGGGGTGGTTGGGCCCCATCCCCATCCCCATCCCCATCCCCATCGGTGCAGGGAGGATCGTGGTTTTGGTCGACCTGGTTTGGCAGGTGGCTTATGGCCACGGCCCACTGCAAAGGCTTTTAACGTTTATTGGTTTTTATTTAATATTCCGTACCCGTGGCGAGGCCGCAAGCATATTAAATTCATAGAAACGGATTGCTCAATTTATCAAGCTGCAGTCAAAAGGCATATTTAAGTTAGACGCCGAGCGCAGTCAATAGTTTGCCTTACTGTATAGGATTAAAAAAGCAATCGAACAGTTTTCTTCAATTTTTATGCTATATGGTTACTACAAATTGATTATAATAAATGCAAATAGAGATTTTATTTAAACATCCCGGCCGTAGCTTTCTATTTTCACATTCTTCACATATTTATTTTATATTTTACTGCACGCACTTTTACTGCTAACTTACGTTCTGTTCGAACTGATTTCCCAGAATTTAATACTCCAGAAATCAAATTTAACAAATAAACGAATTCATTTGATATCAGCATTCAATGACAGAAAATACAAACTTCGAATAGCACAAGAAATTCGTTTGTTGGCCGAGATGGATGCATTCAAAGTCGTCTAACAAAAGTTGTTTGTTGATTGGCACAGTCAGTGTGGAGAAATCCTTTCCATAGCCGATGATATTGAAATATTTACCGATTTGCCTCCTGCAAATTATGTATGCAATTTAAATGAAATTATTTATGTGCGAAGATTTTTCAAATATTTATACCAGGCTAACACAAGTGCATACACAAATTTTATTTTTATTTACGAGTATACAAGTATGTGTTGGGTATTTGTGGGCAGCTTTTGGCCACTCGTTGTTTGTCTCGTCGACCGGCCAGAAATTTAATTAAATCTCGGCGAGGCATTTCAATTTCATTTTCTATTTACACTTTGTGACAATTTTTACGCGTCAACTTCTCTGCTGTATCTTTTTGTTTCGGGGCGGTCCATTGTTAGTTTTTGTCCTTCTTCTAAGGGAGTATGGAGTGTGGAGTGTGGACCCTTCATAAATGTTGCATGAGCCGCACTTCCCGTTTCCTGTCAGCGCATTTCGCTTTCATGACAATACAGAAAAAGGCCAACTGAGGAAGCAAAGATTTTTGGGTGGCTAAGCAGGAAGCTCAAACTTTGAAGTTGCCGGAAGTTGGGCTGATGTTGTCTCTTTGACCCACTATCGAGTTGCCAAGCATTTACCCGGCCGAAGGAAAGCGGTCGAAATATACGGAGTCGATACTGCGGCAGGCTCTCCAGGCCTGCCCTTCTCTATTGACCCATTATCAGCTGTCCGACCTCGGAAGACATCTGGGCCACATCTGCGGCGGTTTCAATTACCCGCACTTCCACTCACTGTCACCTCGCTCCACTCAACTTAAATATTTATAAAGTTTATTAATGCGCGTGTGGCACCTACGAGGATAAAGCCAAAAGACAAAGAGCCGTGCAAAACCCACCGGGAAGACGGAAAGAAAAATACAATTATAATTATTTATTATGCGACAGTTTCCATTCTGGCTATCTGCGTCTCCGCGGCTCCTTTGTTGCACTCTGCAAACGAAAGCGAAACGAAACTGTCGCGAGAGTTGCCCATAAATCATTTATGCAGCGTGTGCACACACTGCACGGCAAACCGACACTGAGAAAAATATATGGGGCTGACTCGAAGAAAAGGTGAGGTGGCTTGGAAGGGAAATCAATCTTGAAATGTTATACAACGGTGTCTTGAAGTATGCAGTAACTGAAGTGTCATAACTATCTAAGGCATCTTTATAAATTGTTCAAAAGTAATACCAAATTCCTTTCACATATTCAATGAAAAATCCATGTAATTTTTGGTAATTTACGACAAAGTATCTGTTGCAATACCAAGTTGGATTTGTTCCTTGTGTACGCATACCCATACGCATGCTGACTATATAAAGTGGCATAAATCAACTTACACTCCCACACCTACACCCTCCACTTGTGCGGGGGGCTCGGGGATGAGTGTCGCGGGGTCTTCAAGACGTGTCTGCAGTCATATGCAGAACTTGCAAAGGGTCCTTACCCGCTTTCCCCAAAGTAAAGACGCAGCTAAAAAAAGTGGAAAACTTAAGCGCCCCGCCTCGTCGCCTTTCCGACTCTTTGCTTTTCCACTCACACTCACACTCCATTCGAATCCCTGCCCCTTCAATTTTTTTTGGATGCATGTCAGTGCCGTGTGTGTCTTTTGATAAGCGCATTCGAAGCAACAGAAAGTGTAGCGCGGCATAATCTGAAGGCAGGGAAGAGGTGGTATAAGTTTTCCTCGCTGTTTTTCCAGTGCTTTTTTCTCTGGACTGCTTCACGCCAAGCACTTTATTGGCAGTTGCTGAAGTATGCAGCACAGTGTAAGTTTGCCCGTTGAATTTAATTTCTGGCATGTGTGCCGGGAGCTGTGGGTATGATTAGATTGCTTTTTGCACCGGGAGCATGTGGGGATGGGGTCTCAACTTTAAGCGGCAACTGCTATTGATAGGATCAAAAAATATGAGCAAGAAATGTATCTTTTTGGCAACTAAAAAGGACAAGATAGATAAAGAAGAAAACTATTTTTTAAATTTTTGTGCATCTAGAAAAAAGTTTCTATAAATCAATTTACAATACCTTTGTTAGGTGGTAAATGATAAAGATGAATTTCGAGCTCATTCAAAGTTTTCCACTCCATTATCTATTTACTCAAGCTCACTTACTTAACTTCCACATACATTTGATACATTTGCAATTAATTTGAGGTATTTTCCTATATTTTTACATACCAAGTTCATACCAAATATTTTCACGTGTTCCCATCATCAACGGAAAAACTCATTGGCCTGCGGGCTGAACCATGTTCGTCTTTTTCATCCTTGTCGGCCAGAGATGGCAAACGTTTTGCGTATGTTTATCCGAACTTCCGTCGATTTACCAAATTATAATTGCACTCACCCATCGAGAGGTGGGAACTCCTGGCGGTACATGGGGGCAGTTTTGGGGCGCAGTTTTCGGTACGTTTACAATGCACTTCCGCCCCATTGTTGTTTTGCATGTTGACATGGTGCAGGCAGCACCGCCAGCGAGGCAGCCAGACATATTACTCATACGCCGTGTTGTCGCTGCCCCGGTCGTTGGGAGTGTGCGTGTTGACAATCATGTATTCGCTGGTTTTTCTGTTCTCCGCTTTATTTTCCCTTTTTTTGTGTTCTGTATCGCCGTGCTGTTGCCACTAATGTGCCACGCCCCTCGGCGACGGGCGTTAAGTTGAGCTGACAATCGAAAGCCGAGAGGTGGCAGAGCGGAGCAGTCAAGTGTGTGGGCGTTGCACGCTCGTCTTTTCTTTCAGGCGATGCCTAGCCCTGATCCCCGATTCCCGATCCCCGGAGCTCCGTGCTCACGAAATAACAATGGCAGCGGCATCAACAGCAGCTGCAACAATGCAACATGACAACTTCCGTTGCATTCGCCTGCCGGCACAAAGGAAAGCGACAAAAAGTCACACACAAATAAACACTCATACGCCCCGTGGAAAACTGTAACGGAATCGCATTGTGTGGGGCAAAATGTTTTTTCCTGCTCGGGAACGGAACAAAATCACACACACGAATCGGATTCAGGTCCTGAGAATTATGGCAAGATTCTGCTCACGGTATCAGATGGTAGAAATCTACCTGATTTGCAACGAATCAATTATTATTGTTATGTGTTAACCTGCTGCGTGTTTTCAGGTCAAGCAATTAATTGGATTCCATTCGGATAGGTTTGATTTGATTTAAGCGCCCTGCGGCAAGCCTCGTGCAATTTTAATTAATTATGCTAATAAGCCCGCAAATTAAAATTATTGTATATTGTATTGACTATGGCGACACTGATTTGATTTTATACATCTAGGGTATCGTAATCATCCAGATAGTCCTGCTGGTTGGCTGCTAGCCCAGCGGTTTCCTCTGTTATGTGCTCATATGATTCGAACTTGATGACGGATGACGGATGCCCAGCCTTAAATGCACATATTACCAATTTGTAGACGTAGGCGCAGGATTCATTGGGAGCCTTTTCCATGCACTTTGATATGGATGCCGCTGCCTTACTGGTTGCTTTCATTGCTTTCAGATCGACTTCGCCTCGAGCATTTAGCCATTTTGTTGGCTCTCTTTCCAGTTGGCACTTGATGTTGCACTTGTACTTCAGTTCGACATTTTCCTTGAGGACATTATCCAAATTACTGGTATCGTCAAACTTTTCATACTCCGCAATGGTAATATTATTGGTTCTTAGACAATCGGTGAAATCGTTATAGGTTCCTTTGAAGAAGTCAAAGGGTTGGCTTTCCTAAAAGGTATTTATTTGTAAATCAAGTATTGTTTAGTTGGTGTATCTAACCTTAGCTTGGCTAATCGAAACGATAAGTAGCACAAAAATGGCAAGTCTAGTGATAAACATTGTTAGCTTCAGACTGAACTGATTCAGATCAACTTTCCCACTTATTTAAAACTATTGCCATAACTTGAAAGACCTGTTTTTGGAAATTATACATGTGTATATACAATTTTGTGGGATCAATATCAATAAATCAATAATTAGTTAGGTAATATGCGTTTTCCTCAGTTTTTGTACATATAATTTAAGATCATTTGAATTATGCGAAAACTTTGCTTCACTTAAAATAAATAACTCGGAATAACAATTACGTGTCGATTCTGACTGGCGTTTTTCATGATTGAGGTGGAATTTTGGTTAATTTAAAACTCTACAAATTCGTTTCAAATAGTCGCATTTTTTGTGGGTTATGTGTGGAACGTGTATTATGCCACAAATTCAAATAAAATACAATTATTCAGAATCCATTACGGGATGGCCGGCCTTAAATGCACACATCACCAGTCTAAAACTGTAGGCACAAGGTTCTTCGGAAGCCTTCTCCATGCACTTGGTAATGGATTTAGATGCCTCAATGGTGGTATTCATCAAATCCAAGTCCATTTTACCTTCAGCATTCAACCACTTCGTTGAATCTCTCTCCAGCTGGCATTTAATATTGCACTTGTACCTCCAGTCGACTTTTTCGTTGAGCAGGTAATCCAGAGTCTCGAGTCGCGCGTATTTCTCATATTCCCCTATAGTAATATTATTAACTTGTAGGCACTCCTGAAAGTCTTTCCAATTCCAGTGAAATATATCAAAGGGGTGGCGAGCCTATAAAGTTTGTCACAAATTAAGGAAAAGCTTAGGCAAATAAAAATATATATCCCACCTTAGCTAAGCTGAACATTAATATCAGAGGCGCAAGAAATACAAGTCTGTAGATGAACATTGTAGAAATGAAACTAAATAGTTGATTGCGAATTTCCCACTGGCCTTAAACAAATGCGTTTAAGTTGCTTGACCAGTTTTTGCTCGATTATTCGTTTAATTTGTTTGTATTTTTTTCCGCCTCGCTGACCTCATCGCTCTGCTCGAAGCTATCCGTGACACAAATCACCATCCTAAACGCATATTCGCAGTGATCTTTCTCCTCGTCGTAGATCTTCTTGCAGTCGTAGAGAATCTCCCGCAGTTCATCGCTAACTTGCTCAATTTCATCGATTCGAGACACATCCAAATAGCCATTGGCGTCCAGCAGATTTCCCTTTTCCCCTAGGCAATGGATGAAGCACTTGTATCTCCGCTCGGTGTTCTCGAGATCTTCCTCCTCGGAGCTGTTGCGATCTACGAGTTCTTGGAACTCAGCCTGGCTGATGTTATTGCTGGCTAGGCAATCCGACACGTAGTTGGTTTCCTCCAGCAGTGAGAGACTCTAAAAAAAACCAAACTTTGGTAACAACTGCTTTGGTAACCGTTCTCAGGATTGATTACCTGTATGGAGACCACGCTGACGGCCAAGATACATATTAATCCTAGCTTGAACATAATCAAACAATTCGCAGAATCTGCTTCAAGATAATACGGACATGGGTTTTCCTAGCACCGTAGCACCTGACGATAAACTGTTACTCGCAGAAAAGCGGTTCTGAATTTTATACAGACTGGCTAGCGGCTAATTTATGGCAACTAGCTTATCTGTATGTAGTTGGCTAATTAATTGCGGCCAACTGGTTACTGGATACAATATGAATCAGATCGGTATACGATCCGTCGTGCATTTAATTGAGTCTCAAAACTCGGAGCTGCATCAACTTGCATTGAGCTCGGGCCCAGTGATTGATTTGAATTGGCAATTATTTACTTTTACAAATTTAAAAGGCCAGGCAGCAAAGCATTTCCGGCAAAACTAAACACACAGCGTAAAGTTCCACGTAAATTTCATTTTGTACGCAGTGAAATTCGCATAACATTTCCTGTCAACATATTTTGCAACACTTTTGTTGCAAAAATGAAGCGACAACTGCAGCGGCAGGAGCAACACAAAGCGACAAATTGCGTTGACAGTGGGAGGGAATGGGTTTTGGCTTGGAATGGTTTGGTTTGGTTTGGTTTGGTTCGGCTCGGTTTGGGTATAGTTTCTTTTTTTGGCTTTCTATTTGGAGAAAAGACATTCCTAACTATGCAACCCCATGCAACTGTAGACAACAAATGAAAATTCCAAGAATATTCACATTCGCAGTGAGTTTTGGCTTTTGCGGCCGGGACTTTGTCTGCTCTTTTCCAGCGAGCTCCTTCTCCGCCAAACCGCTTGTCGCGTTGTTTACTTTGGTTATTTACGGCCTGAACAATTTTTTTTGGCCCTCTTGCCTTTCACGCTGCATACTTTGGACGGTTGCCAAAAAGGAAATATGTGTTGGCGAAAATTACAAATTTTTATGGTCCTAGCTAGGTGCTAAACTGTGTCCTCGGCTGACCCGGCCTGTCGCTTCTATTCCTGTCAAGTCCAGCTGCATAATTGCGATGCTTTTTCCTAGTTCTCAGCCCATCAATTTTTGAGGCTTAATGTGAATTTCGCATTTTCATGAAACGTGGTTTCGCTGTTCTGGGCAAAATTTGATTCCGTTGGACGGGCTTTAACGCTAATTAGTCATGTGAAATGTTTTTGGGTCGATAAGCAGTTGCATAATTCACAGGTCGACATGCAGCATGGCAACGTGAAACAAGGTCTATGTTCGCAAAGAAATCAGATTCTGTGGACTCCAGAAATTTGGCATTATTTTTGCCTAATGGTAATCAAATTACAGACTTTTTAAAATGTAATGAGCTCGCATAAAAGCGGTATTGAACCTTCACATCAGTGAAGTTTCAATGAAGGTTACAAAAGAGACTCTGACTTTACTATGACAGCTACTGCCATTTATTAAACATGTCAGGGGGAGCTGGTGAAGTTTCTTTTCCCTCTTTTTTCAGCTGTTGCCGCTGATACCTTTCCGGAAAAGTTGCCACAACAAAAGGAAAACTAGTGAAAATATATGTGTAAAAAGTTCTGGCTGCTTTGCGTAATAAAAATAAATAGTAACTGACTTCAATATGCATGTCACGTATTTTGCATGCACTTTGATGCCACGCCCACCCACAAATGCCGCCCAAATACATTTTGGCACGTGCAGCAACACAATGGAATTTCTCGAAAAATGCGTAAAATGCTAAGGGAAGACGATGGGGTAGCAATAGCATAACCGAGGCATCTTCTGCAACTGAGCCGAGACTTTGACTTCGCCAAGACATTGCAACAAATTAAGGCACGAAATCCTGAAGCTTTCTAACGACAATGACCAGTTTTCCCACGTTCGTTTCGGGATATAGAACCACTAAGTGGTTTACATTTATCAATTAGCTGAAATGGAGAGCAGCAGAGTCAGCTGCCAAGTTCAAAGCATTGCCAGCTAGGAGCCGTTCGCGAAACCACTGGGCTGTGAATCGCTCCTCCAAGACAAACAAAGTCGCGGAAGCGGGCTCACATCCTGGAAGATGCAAGGGCCACGGACCAAAGGACCTACTCGCTCGAGACAGCTGCATCTTTGGCCAGCGGCAAAGCAAAGTGAAAAGCGGAGCAGAGCAAGGCAAACCCACTTCCCCGGCGGTAATTACAAAATTTTTAATTAAATGTTAAGCGTGGAATGGACGACCTTAAGCGCTCATAACCGAGATCGGGCACGGCTCACAGCTTTAATTCGCAGTCTCGGCGACAATGAATGGGGCTTGACTCCCAGATGAGTTCTGTTTATGCTGGACTTTCGCCATTTTTTCATAGTTTTCCGTGAGATTTGCACGCCTCGCTGCATTTGGTCGCAATTTTCGCACCCAAGCAAATGAGCCTACACGTGGAATAGTTCAGAAGATTCATATGATTAGCTCAAAACGTCTGGCAATTTTTGTTAAGTATTGCTAAGAACCCAGAAACAGCTCTCGATTTTTTACAGAACCTTTGGTAAGATAGATACAATATTGACTTTCATTATTAATCCTTTTTCCGCAGTCTAAAAGCTTTTACGCTGTTGCTCTGCAGGTATTTTTACAACTTTTATTATTCCAGTTCCATTTTTCGTTTACAAAAGGGTGCCAAATCTTCGTATAAAAATCGCTAGTCCATTTTTTTTGGCAGCAATCGCAGGGCTTAAAGTTGGAGCTTAGAGCTAGCTCGTGTGCGAATAGTTTTGGCGTATTTTCAGAGGATGTGAAGGGCGAATGGAGGAGAAAGCGTTTGGCTAACTAAAAATAAACCGAGTGTTAAACGTGGCTTACACACTGGCCATTTTTATTGCCAGCCTGGTCCGTCAGCCGTGAATAATCGCATTAGTTGTGAAATTAAAAATTACAAAATAGAATAGATAAATCCGCCCACGGCTGGCTGGTTGACTATCTAGCTGGCTTGAGGTAAGCCTTTTGTTGGCCCAAAGGCAGAACTATTAACTGTCCCCCTTTCCGTTTTGTGCCACATAAATTCGATTAAAACGTCCTTTTTTTGTGAGCGTTTGTGAGCGTTTGTGAGCGTGTGTGTCCATGGACTTACTGCTAATTGAATTGCCGAGTCGAAAGAGAATTAGTTAAGCCAGTTTGAGGGTTAATGTGCTGGAAGTGACCCCCCATGTATCCAATGGGGTCAAAGGTGGACCGGCGACTTTTTAGGGGATGGAGAGCTCATTATTCTCGGGCAGGTTACCATATCCCTTTGAACTGACAACCTGGGACACTTATGCATGCTTTTTATTGCCTACTTATCAGGGCGGACGCCTCAGCCTTTGAGCCATGTCCTTGTGGAATGTTCAATTGTACGATACATAAATATCTTTACGACACTGGTGTCCCTTTTCGCCATGCATATTTTATTCCCAGCCGTTGACCAAGATGTCACAATTGTGATGACGTCAATGCCAAGTCCTGGTGTAAATTTAAATCGAATCTCATGGCAACCAAGAGGCAATGCCGGCAAAAAGATGAAGAGAAAATGAAGAAGTGAAATCAATTTCTTTTGTGTGTCGTTTGAAAGGCTTCAAATGATTTTCAATTGTTGCTGCATTGACAATTCACCAAATCGAAGTGGTATATTTTTCTCTCCACTCAATAAATACAAGGATATTGACTTTGTCCGTACGAGCTTCATAATCGGATTTTCGTGTTAAATGATTCTATTCCTTGGCTTTCATGCGCCTTGAGCAGCCTTTGGGTTCAACTTCGACTGCACGGGTTCAATAAACATTCGCACAGGTGACTGCCTGCATTGTGTATTAAATTCCAACACTTAACCCCCTTGACTGCAACTGTCTGCCGAGTTCGGTGGCATGGGTTAAACAACACTAGACGGCGACTCATTACTTGAGTGCTAAAATGGGTGACTGCTTTTGCTGCTGCTCTTGCCGCTGCAGCCTTTTTGTGGCAATTTTTGAGTGCGCTTTCTACAGTTTTTAACTTGAAACAACAACAGTGAGTCAAGTCCTTCTCATGGTCCTCGTCATTTTTCTTCCACTCGCTCCTGCTGCTGCTGCTGCTGCTGTTACTGCTGCAGCAGGTGCATGTTGCTGCCCCGTTTTGTTTGCGGCAAAGTGCGCACCGAGCGTCATTGATGCTGACGTTGATGTTGCTGTAGCTGCTGCTGCTGCTGCTGTAGCTGTAGCTGTTGTTGTTGTCGTCAAGCTGCCACTTGTCACATGGCAACAGTTTAGTTTCCACACACACGCTCACCACACAGCCACCCACACACTCTCAAGTGAGTGCAAGTGCCGGCTCAAGTTGCACTCTTACATGCAGCAAACGGAAATCAACGCAGAGCGCCCAGTCGTCGGGCCAAATGAATAGAGCAGCTCCGCCCACTCAGCCACAGCCCACCGCCCACCACTCCCCACGACCATCGTCTGTGGCAGTCAAAGGTCGCCGTTTATGCTGTCGACCCAAAGATGTGGGTCTCCTGGAACTGCGGCTAGCATTGATAAGACGGCTAAAGCTAAAATTTAAAAACTGAACATAATTGTAGCGCATTTTTGATGACCTTGTTTTGTAGCTCTCGCTACATTAGTAACTAAATAACTTACTTTTAGTAACTTAGTAACTTATATAAGAATCACTGCATGAGGAGGTATGTGTTAAGCATAAACAGGGCTTCTACGAGGTATTAGCAAGTCCGCAGCCGCCTCGCACGGCGCTGGCATTGTTTTTTGTACTGTGCCACTTTTCGTTGCTTTCCGGCTGGCTGCCTCTGTCCGCTCGACTGGCTCATGTCGAAAGGTCATTGGAACAGTAAACGGACTGCAAGCCCACTTCCTGCCGGCAACATGCCACATAATATAGTATGGTATGCTTGCAAATAAAATTGGTCACTTTTGCAATCCACACTCGAGCCAATTTTGAGTGCAGACAGGCCGCAAGCAATTTGGACCCCTTTCTCTGCCTCTCATTTGTGTGCATTCTTAATAATTTTGTTATTTCGGCAACATCTGGATCTCAAGTCCGAGAAATTGTGTACGTAATTTGTGGAAATATTAGAAAAATCCCAGGAAGGAGCTACAAATTGCCAAAAACAATTTGTCTTCACTTAGTGCTCCTTTGGCTTGTAAACATTTATTCATTTGTTTTATGTT